TGATTTACTGGCCGTCAAAATGAAAAAAGAAAAGGGAGAAAGACCCCCCCCCACACACACACACACATGCACCCTTGATGGATGAAGCAAGACAGACTTCAACCATTTTACATATATACATACATTCGCATACATACATTTGGTGGATGGAGCAAAGGTCCTACAACTTTATTTTTTTTTTCTCCCATAGCTTATATGTCCCAGCAAAATCTCTCAAGCAGGATAGAAATTACAATGCGATTACACTATTTTTCTTCTAGTGAACGATCACGAAAAGACAATATGTTTCCCGATACCTTTTCATGAAAATCATTTTCATTATTACAGATGAAGAAAACAAATTATTTCCACGCACCCACATACATTTGTAGCTAAGCAACCTGTTTTAGATTAAGAGAATGTAAGCAAGCAAGGTAATTTTCTCAGCTAGTTTCTCCTTAGTGGCAGGCTGCAATTTGTGGTTACAAAGAAAGGATCAATTGTCTTAAAAAGTGATCTTATATAAATCTTAAAGAATCCAAATCTAAACTTTTATATAAAAACAATCAACCATTTCTACTTTAAATCCTCAAGGTACACATCTATTTATTATTAAATAAATGGTATTTTTTATTAAATCATATCAGGAAGCGGAGGCAAAATGGGTACAGAAAATCGATCATCATCTTGATGACCAGCCCGGCTTTAGCAAGAGAGTCATATCAGCCATTGCTGTTACTCTTGTTCCCTGACCTCAAAAAGTCCCTAGCTCAACTATTAAGAGCGTGCTTTCCTGGACTTCAGATTGTTCCCTAAGATTTTCTACAATGGGGCCACTAACAAAACAAAACAAAAAACCTTACTAACAATCTGCTTCTCCAAATTCTTTCTAAGGGTGGTGGTCAGTCTACATCTCTAGGTTCTTTCTGAGGGTGGTGAATAGGTTAATCTGCTCGAGCAGCAACGCTTGGAGAAGGCCAAGCACTATTACTGTGAGGGCCAAGGATACTGCCCAGTGGGGGGCTAGAAGCCCCTTAGAGTTTTCACACAATCCCTAAATTAAGAAGGAAGCAAAGACGGCCCAGGGCGGCAAGCCGAGTGATGCCCCATAACAGCATGGCGTCGTCAGGACACGCAGTCCTAGAGGCTCCGCCTCTCTGAGTCACACCCATCGTGGTCGTGATGACTCGGGCCACATTCCTTCAGTTCTAAAACAAACTCAAAGTTCGCTGTAACCCACACGGGCCTCAACAAGCCATCTGTATTTCAGGTCTATCCTTGAGTTATATTTGCACTATTTCAAATAGTCACACAGCCATAGCCAGACTCAAAGAATAGGGAAACAAGGTCCCCTTACTAATGGGAAAGTGGTGTCTGAATTCACTGCATGCAAGCACTGCATAGGTCAGGCCCTGGCTCTCCGATGGCCAGCTCTGTGAGAGAGAGGGCTCGGTGAGTTTCCCAGGGACTTCCTCCTCCACTCTATTTGAAAATACAAATACTTAATAATCTAAAAACACTGTATGTGGGCATGCACATGGACAGACGATAGGCGCAGTAAAATACACATCCACAGACTCACCACCCCGGCCAACAGCTGGGCCACCCACAGTCACTCAGTTATTTTCATATTTCCCAGGTGCTTTCTCTAGTGGTTTCTTTCCACTCCCTCAGGACAGGTCACACTTTAGATTCTGGGTTTTCCGTTCCCTTGAGAACTTGAAGAATAAGGTTTTTATATCGCTGGAGTGTATGGCTATACAATTTATTGCTGAATTTTGCTTGCTTTCCCCCCCATGCGGTGAAGTTCACTTACTATTCATTTCTGGACTGTTTTTATTACATACACACACATACACATATAACATACATAAACACATATAATGTACGGCTTGACTTTGGCCACTCTCCACTTTCACTTCAGCTGCGTGGACCGCATCAGCAGCGTTGTGCAACTGTTACCACTGTTCCCAAAACATTTTCATCACCCAACCAGAAACTACACAAATATTAAGCAACGACTCTCCCTTCTCCCAGCTTCTGGAAGTTTCTTACTTTTTAAAAATATTTGTGTGTGTGCGCGTGCGTGCAAACAGGTGACTTGCTCCACCATGTAGTCTCCGGGACTCTTGGCAGCAAGTGACCTGTCTGGCCAGCCCCCTCCTCTGAGGGCTTCTGATCTACTTTGTGCCTCTCTGACTGCCTCTTCCGGCTCCCTCCATCTAGTGTGTTCCCAAGGCTTGTTTACACTATCGGAGGCATCGGGCAGCTCCATCCTTTTCTGTAGGTGAATAACATTATCTTGCACGTTCATTCTCCTGTTAATGGGCCCCGGGCTGTTTCCACCTTCGGACCAGTGTGAAGACGCTGTGGTGGACACTGCCACAAAGTCTCGTTTCAGCTCCTTTGGGTGGACACCTCGTTGGGTGACAAAATTTTCCCTGCATCCCACAACAGACCAAAGTACAGATACTACCAAAGTCCAACTTGGTGAAGCAGTGAGTTTTATTGGGATTACTTACAGGAATGTGGGTGAGGAGTTACTTATAGCAGCAGCAATGCCCCAAAGACAGCCATGTCATCCCAGGCCACCCCAGCATGAGTGACAACAGGCAGCCCGGCAGGTTGCAGAGTGACTTTTCCAAGTGACCCTGATCTTTAACCTCTCCCAGGCAACTGCTCTGGGCCCAGGGTCTTTTTTTTGCAGCTTGTGTTGCCTGAGTCTCCTTTGTAGCATTAGTGCTTACACTGGGAGGGAGAGGCCTCTCGAATCTGGTCAGTTTCAGGAACTTCCTGAAGCTGTTTTGAGGTGTTTGGCTTCCCTGCAGTATGGGATGTTTCACTCTGGGAGGAAAGCGTTGTGCAATACACCGCAGGTGGGATGGCGGGGGCACGCTGTGGTTCTCTGATTGGCTTTTGGGCAGACCAAGGGGCTGTGCTGTGGACCATGCACCGTTCCCCATTCCTCCCACGGTGCGTGAGGATTCTGATTGCTCCACATCTTCCCCAGGGCCTGTTTTGCACACATGTACACCCCAACCCCCACAATTTATGACCATGTCTGGTAAATGGGATTATAGTAGCTTGCTAATGAGACTTTTTTTTTTCAATGCTCCTGAGTAAATTTTCTTTCTTGATTTTAGGTGTGTGCGTGTACAGGTACGTACACATGTGTGTGAGTACATGTGTTTGTGTGTCCATGTATGTATGCGAGCACATAGGCAGGCATGTGAGTGTGTGTATGTGTGCATGTATAAGTGTGTACGTGTGCGCAGGCCAGAGGGAGAGGTTGGGTGACTCCATAATCGTGAGCATCTTTCCACCTGTTCTTTGGCCATTTGTTCGAAACCTGTATTTATACTTTGCCTTCCTTGCCAGGCTCTCGCTGTACAGCCTGGGCCTCGGCTCCTCAGTGCTGTGATCTTCGCCCCTGCTTTAATGGGTCATTTCTCTTTTTGTTATTTTGCTGTAGGAGACCTTCACATATTTTGGATATTATGCCTTTATCAGGCAGAGTATCTGCAAACATCTTCTCCTTTTCTGTGGATTTTTTTGTTTGTAAATTCTGTGTAGGTGTGTGGCTGTGTGCCTTGCTTCTGAGTTCAAAGGCACTTGATGACCTAGAGCTGAAATCACAGGCTGTTATAAGCCATCTGACGCTGGGAACTGAACTCAGGACCTTTGGAAGAACAGTAAGTGCTCTTAACTACTGAGCCATGGCTCCAACCCTGTCTTTTCACTTTCTGGATATTGTTTTGATTTGGGTGTTATATTTAAGAATCCTTTGCCAAACTATGCTTGGTTTTGAGCTCTATAAAAGCAGTATTATTCCCAATGCAATCTTCTGCTACTTTGTGCTTTTTTTTTCAAAATTGTAAGAGTATGTCTATTTTCTGTTGTCCAAGCATTTTCATGGCTGTATAATATTCCATTGTGTAACCACACCACACAGTAGTTACCAGTCTCCTGTTGAAAGGTATCTGTGCTCTTCCTACTTATTCTGGTATCACATCAACGTCATTATTAACAGTCCAAGTGATTCTTTGGTACAATCTAATTTAAAAACAGCTTCTTTTTTTTTTTTTAAATGAGTGAAGCCATTCAGATGGGGTTGCTACATTTGAGCGAACAGCACACCAGAAAAGGTATTTGACTGAAACATTGATTTTTCTCAGCTGCCCATTTGGACTAGCCACTGGACTAAGAAGCTGTGGAAAGTCCTGCTGTTGGGTTTGCTCTGTGTCTACGCTAACTATGTGGGGTGTGTGGTTTTCTGCTAAGAACAATCAGAGGAGACACAGAAGGCTCATTTCACTGGTTTCGAGTTGGAACCCTTTTGAAAACAGGAAGATGTCCACACGGGTGGGGGAGAGGAAACTGTGAAATGGAAATGCCTTCTTCATTGTTCTTCCTGAGCGAGACTGCAGGAATTTCTGCACTGGATTTGAAACGATTTCAGGATGAACTTTTTTGAGTACTTGAAAGTCCAGAGTGAAGAGGCAGCCCAAGGGTCCCGTGTCAGTCCATACTATAGCTCCACACTATACTACAGCTCTGTACTCTGGAGATTAAAGAGCAGCAGACCAAGACCCAATCAGCCCAGCCTACTGATTGCGAGCTCCAGAGCTTTGCACAGTCAGGAGATGTCCACACTTAGGCGGCCTGATTGAGAAAAGGAAACACTTTCTTTATAGTCCCAGATAGGCCAGGTCACAAGGGTGTCTAAAAGGACTCTGAAATAACTCAAAGAGAGGTCTAACCAGCCCCCCACCCCAAACACACAGTAAAGTGTCAGATTGACAGTCCCTGCTCCCCATCCCAACCTCTGGGGGTTATCCACCTCTGTGGTGGGTGGGAGGGTCACGAAGTTACTAGATTTCTTCATGATTTGTAAAATAACACCACAGTGGGAGCCAAGAGTGAATGAAGCAAGAGCTTAGCTCTTGACAGGGGTTTAGTTCCTGGAACAACAAGAGTGACCTTAGCAAGGCCGACATTGTGCAAACACAGAATTGGAAGAGGAGGAGGTGGGGTCAGATCCTGAAGCATAAAAGCATTGGCAGGAGTCACGGCGGCACAGCCCTTCCAGAGAGAGGCAAGAGAGGCCAAGATGAGGTGAGTCCACAGTGCATGCTTCACACTTCATGCTTTGAGGACAGTGTAGAAGCCTAGGGGAGAAGTGCAAGAATGGGGTGCAGGAATGGGGCCAACGGGCTAAGGTTCTAGGGGGCTCTAGCCCCTGGCCCGCAGGTCACATGTCACATGTGGCTGAGGACAGCTGTGAATGCAGATCGACACAAAACTGTAAACTTACCTACAGTGTTAGGAGCGTTTTTTCTCTTTCTTTTTCTTTCTTTCTTTCTTTCTTTCTTTCTTTCTTTCTTTCTTTTTTTTTTTTTTTAAAAAAAACTTGGTCCTGCAGCTTGAGTGTGAATTTTGTAGGTGACAACGTCATGCTGAAATGTCAATGGCAGGATGTGCCTAGAGCCTCAGGGAGGGAAGGGCCGGTGACTAAGCCCCTTCCTCCTGCACCCACAGGAGGTGGGCCTTCAGGTGGGGCTGTGACTCTGAGGAGGATCTTTCCCCTTGAGATGCCTTGTTTTCATCAGCATGCAGCAGCTTCCTGGAATACTAGCTGTGCTATCAAATGACCTCCTGCTTTTAACGAAAGAAAGGCAGTAGTCATCCATCTTACCGATACAGTCAAGGCACCCATTTTTTTCTTAAATCAAAATAGAAAGACTTTGAAGGCTGAAAAAAGACTAGAAGCATAGTGTCACCCTATAGAAATTCCTGACTGGCCAACGTCGGTTGGAAGTTGGCTACCTTTAAGTGTGGCCTGTGCACCAGTGATGGCCAGAGTCATGCCTTTAGGGAGCCGGTGTTCTCCAGGTAACCTCTGGCATTCTTGGGTTTGACACGCCATCCTTTAGAGGCAAATACTCACAAAATAATAGGAACAACCATATATGCATTAGGGGTGAGGGTGCATGCGTGGAGACTCTAGAAGCTGAGGTAAGCTGAGCCCAGGAGTTCAGCCTGGGCAAAGAGACCTTAAGGACAAGAAGAAGACACTAAAACAACCTTTTCATTATGGGATTGTAAAAGGAACTTTTATTCTCCTGAGGTAATTGCTGTCTTGGAGGCTTCTTCTTGCCTCCTTCTGCTAACCTAGGCCTAATCCTGGAAGCTTCTAGCCTCCATACAATCTAATCTAGGCCCAGAATGTTTTCAGCCTCTGAGACTTACTGCTTAATAAGCTCACCCTTTCTTGTTCTTTCTGAGCTCTGGGCTGGCTGGTTCAACTCAGCTGTTCTGGCTCAAAACCCTCTCCTAGCTGACTTATTCAATCTGGCTTCTCTCTTGGGCCCAGAATTGCTCCGCTTGGCCTCAAACTAACTCCAGCAATCTAGAAGTCTTCTGACATCTTCTCATTCTCTGGCTCATTCTCTCTCCACCTGTGTCTAGCTTGTTCTCACGTTCAACCTCTCTCTCTTCTCTCTCTCTCTCTTTTTTTTACAGAAATGACTCAAAGAAATGTCTAACCCCCCCCCCCACACACACACACAAAGTGTCAGATTGTCAGCTTCTGCTCCCTTTCCCACCTCTGGGGGTAATCCACCACTGTGGTAAAACTTCTCCTGGTAAAACTTCCTCCTTTCTTCCTCTCTGCATTGCCCCTTAGGTAGCTTCCCTTTCCTCTCTCTTCTCCTGAGGGTTGGGCATATCCTATCCTGTCAAGTCTTTCTCAGATTCCTCACTTTTTTCTGACGGTCACTTTCCAACATGGGTGCTTCCTTCTACAAACTAATTTTACTTTCATTGTTTGGGATTAAAGGCACATACCACCAGGCCTGCATCTAAGCGTTTCTTGCTCTAAACCAGGCCAGCCTTGAACCCAGATCTCTTTGCCTCTTTCTCCTGGATTAACGGCGTGCATGTGTGTATTCCAGCTGGATCACATAGACCTGGAAGGTCTTTGGATGTGATCTCTTCCCAGAACAACCACATTTCTGAATTAACATTCTTTTACATGGGACATATCAAAAGTAGTGAGAATAGCAAAATAAACTGTAGCCATCTTCTTTAAGTTAGCTTAGCTACAATGTTCTAACAGTGTCTCACTTCACAGATGTGTGGCAGAGGCTTCTTTCTAGACACCACGGATCATCACCAGAGTTCTCTTTTCTCACTCCCCACATCTCTCAGCTTTTCTCAGAGAGGCGCTTCAAATTCTCAATCCTCCAGCCCCACCCTCTGCCTCAGAGGTCTGGGATGGCATACATGCTACCACACTGGTGTCTTCTTTCTTCTGTCATGGTGGTCCCGTTCTGAAGCTTGTGCAGAGTTCCCAGTGACACAGAGCTTGCTGTGTGTCTGGAGTTTGCTGAAGCCTGGGGGTGGGGGTGGGGGTGGGACACAGCCCTTTGGTTTTAGCATTTCATTCTCTTTCTCTACCATCTGCTTAATGGAAAGTGTGTGTGTGTGTGTGTGTGTGTGTGTGTGTGTGTGTGATGGGTACATGCAAGAAGACCACACATGCAGGAAGACTAACTCGACTCCTTCCTTGCCACCTCTCTACAGAGCCCTGGGAGCTGTTGTCACCCTCCTGCTCTGGGGACAGCTTTTTGCTGACTTGGGAAATGATGCCATGGATTTTGAAGGTGAGGTTCTGGGGTTTCCCGGGGCTGTGCACCCCAGCTCCGCTTTGGAGCACTCTGATGGGTGCCCTAGTCTGGCCCCATCAGACCTGCACTGTGTCAGGGAAGACTTCGGGGCCTCCCTTCCTCAGCTTCCACTAGAGTGCAAGGGAGTCTGGTGTGCTGGGCGGCTCCGTCTCTGTCGACTTTTCATGAGGAGCCATCTGAGCCACCACGGCCTTTTCTGCCTTCTTCTTCTTGGCAGATGACAGCTGCCCAAAGCCCCCGGAGATTGCAAATGGTTACGTGGAGCATTTGGTTCGCTATCGCTGCCGACAGTTCTACAGACTACGGACCAAAGGAGATGGTAAGGCCTGGACAAGCGTCCCTCCCTTCACACCCCTGGTCCTGCCTGTTGTTACCTATAACACTGGGCAGCCATGTTCCTGACAGTTTCTAAGAGCTTCACGGTATCTTTAAAGTTCCTGTGGTTCTCATAGCCCTTTTTTTTTTTTTTTTGGAGAGACACTCTTAGTTTCATTTTTTTCAACAAGGAAACCAAGGTACAGAGGCTGAGGTAGCTTGTGAGAGTCAGAGTCAGGATCTGAATCCTGACTTCTTCCTGTCTTATGCTGCCATCTGCCACGATTGACTCCTGTCAGACAGAACGTGACCCGAGGCAGAGGTCACGGCACTTCCAGCCTTCCTTCCTGGCATTGTCCTTTTCTCCCTTTCCTCCAGCTCTTTAACCTTTCTTGTTAGACATCTCATGCTACATGGGGTGAGGGTGGGGCAGATTCGCTTTCTGTGAGTTCACCTTCCTGTTTTGTTTCAGGAGTGTATACCTTAAACAGTGAGAAGCAATGGGTAAACACAGCTGCTGGAGACAGACTCCCCGAGTGTGAGGCAGGTGGGTGATGAGGGCTTTAAAGCACGGGCAGGGATTGGGGCTAAAATGTGGCAGAGCCATGTTCCTCTTGTGTGGCCTGAAGATGTGAGAACCAAGACAGGGGTCAGAGAGAACCACAGCTGGCAAAGCAGGGGCAATATTGCTCCCAGGGAGCTGAGTGGCCTGCTCCTTAGGCCTAAGTGCTTTGCTGAATCAACCGTCTACATTGCTTCCCACTGAGACGCCTCTGTACAGAACAGATGCCTTCTGCTTTCAGAGCCTTGGCCAAAGGTGACGTGAACTCCCCAGGAAGGACTGGGCCAGGGAGGAAATAACATAAGCTGAGCCCACAAGGGATAGGGAAGGATCTGAGGCAGCTGGGACCCCTGCATTATGTAGTTCTCTCTACTGCCTAAATAAGAATTCTGCCCAACCCTGCTGCTATCGGTGGTGGGAACCGCTTTGTGTTCAGCTTCAACATCTGAATAACCTGTGTTCCTGCTAATGCTGCTACCGGGCCATCTTTGTCTGAGAATGAAATGTACACAGAGCTTCCAGCCCTTCCAGAGAACTGTGGAATGTGTGTGTGTGATGTTTATATATGTATGCAGATAGGTATATGTATTTATATAGTAGTTTATCAGCCAGGGTTAAAAACAATAAGTCTCTTGATATGTAAACACTAGAAAGGAGAGGAGCAGGTGGCAAGGGAGTGTTTGCTTATTGCTGGGTGTGGAAGCAGCAGCAGCTGATGCTTCCGGGGCCTCTGAAGATGGGGCCAGCTCCATTCTGCTGCTCACATCCCTCCCTCCCTCCCTCCCTCCACAGTGTGTGGGAAGCCCAAGCATCCCGTGGAGCAGGTGCAGCGCATCATCGGTGGTTCTATGGATGCCAAAGGCAGCTTTCCCTGGCAGGCCAAGATGGTCTCCCGCCATGAACTCACCACGGGGGCCACGCTGATCAGCGACCAGTGGCTGCTGACTACAGCCAAGAACCTCTACCTGAATCACAGTGAGGATGCGTCTGCCAAGGACATTGCCCCTACCTTGAAACTCTATGTGGGGAGAAAGCAGCTGGTGGATATTGACAAGGTGGTTCTCCACCCCAACCGTTCTGTGGTGGACATCGGGCTAATCAAGCTCAAGCAGAAGGTGCCTGTCAACGAGAGGGTGATGCCCATCTGCCTGCCTTCCAAAGACTATGTGGCACCGGGCCGCATGGGCTATGTGTCCGGCTGGGGGAGGAACGCCAACTTCAGGTTTACTGATCGCCTCAAGTATGTCATGCTGCCTGTGGCCGACCAGGAGAGCTGTGTGCGGCATTATGAGAACAGCACAGTGCCTGAGAAGAAAGCCCCCAAGAGTCCTGTTGGGGTACAGCCCATCTTGAATGAGCACACTTTCTGTGCTGGCTTGACCAAGTTCCAGGAAGACACGTGCTATGGTGACGCTGGCAGCGCCTTTGCCGTTCACGACGTGGAGGAGGACACGTGGTATGCAGCAGGGATCCTGAGCTTTGACAAGAGCTGTGGTGTGGCCGAGTATGGCGTGTACATGAAGGTGGCTGACATCCTGGACTGGATTCGGGAAACCATGGCCAAGGAGTAGTGCAGGGCTGACTGGAAGGCTATGCTCGGCAGCCCAGGTTGGGAGTCACTGTCTGAGAGCCCAGTTGACCATGGAGGATGGGGAAGTGGAGGGGTTGGGGACACAATCTGTGGGGTGTCAGCCGATAATAAAGAACTTGCTTCTGACCCATTTCTGGGCTCCTTGTAGTCTGTGGCTTTTATTCTCATTTACAGTGCTGGGTAGCCAAGAAGCATGGTCTACTGAAAAACATGAGGACCCCCATCCCAAGGTGCCAGGAAATCCCCAGGGTGCTGCTGACTGCCTTGGATAGTCATGCTTATGAGAGTCAGGTCTCGAGATCCCTGTGACCCTTGATTTTCAGCCAAGGGAAAAGACTTGGAGAAGTGTTTTGATCAAGGTCACCAGCTACTTGGCCGCAGAGATGCGCTTGACCCTGGGCCTACTGTGAGCCCGTGAGGAGTGCGAGTTCAGCGTGGGACAAGGAGGGTTGTGATAGAAGCCCTTGGGTCTGTGCACCTGCCAGTGCCCCAGAAACTGAAACAGGCACATGCAGGCCAGCTAGGGACTTGACACACAGCCCAGCCCACAGATTCCCTCAGTGGCTTATGCTCTCTGGTTATTGCTTGTCTCCAGATTTTTTCCACTAGGGATGGACACTAGGGTCTCTCTGGAGTCCCCTGGCTGGAATGCTCTGGGACTTGGCAGAGCTGGGTCTCTCCCTCAGTGGCTCTTCTTCCACAGTAGAGAAACCCTGCCTGTTCTGGGAGGTTAAGTCAAGTGCCCTTTCACCTTCAAGATCAAGGAGTCTGGGGAGATTCATCAGGAAGCTCTCTTCTCTCTCAATACTTCCTTACCCCAAGTCTTCAGGTCGGTGCTCCTCCAAACATGGCCTCTCTTCCTGGGGTGCCAGGCTCCCAGGGACGTGCCCCTCAGCTTCAGAGTCACTGGTGCATCTCCTTGGGGTAGAGCTATGGGATCAAGGAGACGGGGACAAGCATTCCAGAACCCGGGAGGAAACAGCCAGAGAACGAAACCTCACAGTCACATACTCACACGGCAGCTGACAACAGGCGGCGGGCCGCTACCTAGAGAGAAGGAGGACACCTTCTGGACCCTCCTCCTTTACTCTGCTTCCCTCCCTAGCGGGCCTCCTGCTTGCTCTTCACCAGTGCTTCTCCCTTCCTGCACAAGGGCTTCCTCTTCTCCCCTCAGAGGAGTCATTCATAGTTACATGGAATCTGGCACTGGACAGGGCATACAACACGTGCTTAATAAATACCTGTGGAGGGGAAGCAGCCAAGTTAGGGTCTAAAACATAAATCCAGACTGCCGGGCCTCCCTCTGCCCTCATCCAAGCCTTCAGGAAGAAAGATGATAGTATTTTTCCTGGGCAAGTTCGGAGACTTTGCTGGCACCTGAGCATTTAGGCTGACGGACAAAAGACCCGGCTGACAGTGAGTTGGACAAAGACATTTTATTCTTTCATAGGGATATGGAAAAAAGTTGAATGTTCGCCTAGGACTTCAGTAACATTAGGAACCTGACTCTTTCATGTCTGCATGTTAATTTTTCATCCCACAGGTCTAGGGTGGCTATCATAGCCATATGCATCATAAGGAGGATATTTTCCCATCCCTGAAGGGCTCTTTCCCCATCTCTGAAGCAGCTCTCAGCTTTAAGCAGAGGACACAGAAAGCCCAAACAACCTTCTTTCTGTGCCCCATCTATCAGAACCAGGTCCCACTTCACTTTTCCCTGAAGGACAAGCTTACAAAGCAGCTGATGACAGCACCATGGTGACAGCGCTGCCTGGCCATAACCCCCCAGCTCTGTATCTACTCCTCATTCCAGAGTGTCAGGGACAATAACCACTATGGGGTGTAAGAGAAACAGAGTTTCCTGATGGGACCATGGCACGTCAGATATTCTTCAAATGCCTCTGGAATTAGCAAATAGTACAAGACGTTTCCCTGCTAACAATTCTGATATCTTTTTGGTCTTAAGTCCTTCATACAAGGGGTGGTGGCACGGCTTTCTGGGGAGGTCTGCCATCCTTTACTTCCCAAGACCAGCTACCTTGGTTAGCTTTAACTGTAGAGGACGGTCAAGGGCCACACTGCTCTTGGCAATTTAATAACCTGCCAGCCGTAAAGGAGTGGACCACAGTAGCCCTTTCAGTCTGTGTCAGAAACGATGAACTCACCTACAACTAATATAGTGTTGATTATTTCAAGAGAAGCTGGGATCGGAGGGAGCACAAGGGGCAAGTGAATGGAGGCACAGGGCGGAGGGTGTATGCATGAGCATAAACGTGGCTGATCAAAGTGTTCTCGGTGTCAGGGAGGATGCGTGAGCCTCAGGGCTAAAGGGAAGTCCAGATAAAGGGGGGTTACAAAGCCCACCCGAACACTGTTGCAGCATTGCTCTGAGGCTCTCAGGGAGTGGACACTCAGGCATCTGGATTCTTGCAGTGCAGGGGCTTCTGCCCTGAGGCCGTTGGCTTCAGACATATCAGACCTCTTTGCTGAGGCAGAGAATGTGTCTCTGAGGGACTGCAGACCACAGGCCCTCAGGGTTCGGCCTGTTCCAACCCGTGCCTCTCTCATCTGCAACCGCAGCGAGTGTGCTAAATGTCCTGATAGAGGAGGTCATATTTGGGGATGTTCTTGGGGTCAATAGGACTCTGGACGATAAGTTTTCCCCTCATTGCTCCCCGGTAGATGACTTCAATCAAATCTATGAAGTCTTGTTTGGTTTTGAAGCTTCCTACGAATTTAGTGTGATCCGGAGACCTGCAGCACAGAGGGAAATAACCGCGTCAGCAGCAACCGGTGGCCTCTTTCTCCCTCCCTGTCTGGGAGGCTCTCCATGTGTGAGTGCCGCCTTTTTCCCAGGCACAGGACTCAGGACTGTATCTAGGGCTGTGAGCCACTCACATCAAAGTCCAGATGTGGGAGAGATCCCGCCTTTCTATCACTTTCCACATCGGTATCATGCAGCGCGCTCTGAGGACTGAGTGGGCAGAGCTTGCCCAGTGTCTCTGAAAGAAGCCCATTAACTTTCACAGTCTCTCAAGTTCTCAGCACTAACCCTTCTGAGTTGTGGGTATTAATAAACAATCTTACAAATTATTTTAAACATCAGGTATACCAGTTGTAGGAAGTTTTTAAAGAGAAATAAAATCAGCTGTGAGGCCAGAGTCACCTTTTGATGCATATCCTTGCAGTCCTGTGTGGGGGTGTGTATCCTTTTTCTTTTTAAAGATAATAAGAATCACATCACAAACTACTAAGCAATGTGATTTTACAGGTAGCATTTGCCTCAGCGTTATAAAGTATGCATCTACAACATATTATTAAACTCCTGGAAATGTAATTACTGGGTTAAAAGATTAAGTACAAAAGTGTTTGATACTGTGTCCTGAATTCCACACGAGAAGTCTGTACTAAACTGGTACAGTGGCGGAGTCCTAGGATAAGCAGCTCCAAACCAACAGTGTTAAACACATCTCCATCAGGTTACCAGAAGGCAGACACATCTGTCCGGCAGCAAGAGGTGACTCCTGGACACAGCCAACTCATACTGCGGTGTCAACAGGATGGAGAGCAGGACGTTACAGAAAGCACCATGTGACTTATTTTGACAGGCGTCATTGAAGAACGACTTCAAAATTCTCTGAGGGGCAACAGACAGCCGGCTAGAGAGAACTGTGTCTTTCCGGTATGCTTCTTTTGTCGATGCCAAATACCATCCCCTTCCCCCCTCTAAGTATTTTGTTGCAACAGATTTTTTCTTTTTTTGGTAAAATTTTATATTCTATGCTCAGTTAATATAGCTATTCTATACTGTCTATACTTAAGGACAGCTGGTCAGTCCTTCAAAAGCTATATATTTTTTTCATATTTAGTTGAAAATTAAAATTTGCCAATCATACTTGAAACACTCTCGTTTTATACTAAAGTTTACCATGAAAAATAGAGAACATCAAATAAGTAGACAACATTCACTTAGCCAGGCTCAGGGGGCCAATAGCATACAAGGTAGTGAGCTACCCAACCTGCCCTGGAAAAAAAACCAACCAACCAAACAAAAAAACTTTCCAGAATGAATGTACAGTCACCTTAACTCACCCATAATCTACTTTCATGTGCTGCCCATTGAAGAAAAATACAGTAGAGGGAATGTAACTGATGTCAAAATACTGTGTATAAACTGGAGTGTGGTCCACATCCACCAGGTAAATGGCAGCCATTTTACTTAAGTCAGCCGATGTCTTCGAAAGCTGTGAACGACAAGATGCATAGAGGTTACACTATACTATGTCAAACGCGTAACGCTTCTTTTGTGAAACATACCATAAACATACACTATATGAAACTTAGTATAGTATTTTTGAGAAAAATTGTGTTGGAAAAAATACCTAACGAAGAATCCCATTTGAATTCCAGAACTCGATATGTAGACCAGGCTGGCCTTGAACTCACAGAGGTCTGCCTGCCTGCCTCCCAAGGGCTGGGATTAAAAGTGTACACTGTGCCCGGCTGGACACAACATTCCTCTTTGGAGGCTGCATCACTGGTGGGAGGGTGGTAGGTCAGAAGGCACCGTGTGCTTGTTTGTATGAGACTCGCCCCCGTGGGCTCATCTGTCTGAATGGCTGGGTCCTAGCTGGTGGAACTGTTTGAGAAGAATTAGAGTGGGTCATTATGGGCAGGTTCTGAGGTCTCATAAGCCCATACCATTTCCAATTTGTTTGTGTCAAGATGTTTTCTCAGCTCCTTCTCCAGCACCACGCCTGCCAGGCCCTGCAATGACGGTCATGGAGTCTAACCCTCTGAAACCGTAAGCCCCAGATAAACTTTCCTGTGTAAGTCGCCTTGGTTATGGTTTTATCACAGCAATGGGAAAGTAACTAAGACACGTTGGGGAAAATATTTTTCTTTTGTTTTGTTGATGTTTGATTCTTTCTTTTTGAAATTAAGTTTTGTTTTTTTTTTTTTAAGTTTTATTTATTTGTGTGTGTGCGGGGGATGGGGATAAGATGGGCACATGTGGGCATAGTGCATAAGCAGGAGCCAGAGGACAGCTTGCTGAGGTCAGGTCTCTCCTTCTTAATGGCAAGAGTCCTTACTTGCTGAGCCATCTTGTGGGCCCATGTGGATTATTGATGCTCGTTTAAAGCGAGCTCGGAGCATAGCTCAGTGGTAGAGCATGAGGTCTAGTGTCAACGCTCAGTATTTCAAAACTAACTGCAGATCCTGAGAACCTGCCATAACAACTTAGAAATATCCACACAGATGCCGACTTTCCGCAGGTGCTTTCCTCCTGGAAATGAAAAGCAGAGGCAAGCCTGATGCCACCCCCCACTGGCTAACTGTCCTCAGTGCTTCGCACCTGTTAACCCATTTAACAGTTAGTGTACCCCATGGGCTATGGCTGCTTAGCATCACCCTCTTAGAGGACAAAGCGGAGGCACAGGAGGAACTTGTTTGTTCCAGGACACACAGCTCCTAAGCAGTAGGGCTGGCATTTGAACTTTGGACTCGTGGTTTCCACATCAATATAATTGTTTTGTTGGCCTTTGGGAGTTGAACTCAGGGCCTCATATATAAAAGGCAACTGTTCTGCAGCTGAGCTACACTTCCAGCCTAGAATCTATACTCTTTCCCATAGCTAAAAGTATAAATTTCTGATCATGTTCTCTAGGTTAATATATCATTCTTACTTATTGACCGGGTGTATGTATGACGTGTGAGTGCACATGGAAGTTAGAGGACGACTTCCAGGTTTCAGTTCTCTCCTTCCACTTTGGGCTCCAGAGACTGAACTCAGGTTGGAAGTCTTGTCTAGCAAGTGCTTTACCTGCTGAGCCAGCCTCCACATTCATCTTTAACAGCATAATGACTCCTTACATTTGGTCCCCACAGTTGACTGTAGCAACAGAGATGGGTGGGGAGAGATGTTTATCCTTCGTTCAATCTCCATGGTAAGTAGGGACAAGAGAAAAAGCACAGGAACTCTATCTCACAATTTCTCCTCTTCACTAATTTGAGTGTGAAGAGGTGCTATGAAATTTGATGTCTCCACCAGCAAACAAGAAGAGTACTGGCAGCTAGAGAATAGTTCAGCGCCCCACTTTGCAACCTGTATACCTTGGAGGGGTTCCTCCTCCTAGACCTCTCTAGAACTTTCTGCACTCAGTCTGTGACTGTTGTTGTGAATGTTGAAAGGATAGTGCTCAGGTAGCTGGTATTGGCGCTTCCTGTTCTTCTGCTGCGTGGCCGGTGAAGTGAGCTTTGACAGGTGCTAGTGGGGGAGGGTCAGGACAGACCTCACCGTCCATTTGGGCCTCTGATCAGGAAAGGCACTGGATCAGCCCTTAGAGAAGGCTTGCTAATCCATACCAGGCCTGTTCCTTTTTAAGATGCTGAGTGACAACAGATGAGTTTTCAACTAAAACTGCCAAAAAAAAAAAAAAAAACCCAAAAAACAAAAAACCAAACACACACACACACACACACACACACAAACCCAAAACAAAACAAAAAAAACACCTCACTTACAATATCATCCAGCTGCAGGCAGACGGGGTCTTCATCTCTCCCAAACCTGAGAACCAACACCCTCTCCGCAGTGCCCTTGATTGCCTGGTCCACTTCTTTCTTGCTGGTCAGTTTGGGCAACAGGAAGCTCATCTTGAGACAACCCCGTGCTAGTTTGCGCTATCCATTCTGCAATGTCTCAGAGCTGTCTGGACGAAGTGTGTGAGCCCTGATGTAAAGAACAAAACAGCACCACTTAGCACATACTGGCCTTGTACTCAGGTGACTTTCCGGGAAGCCTGTACTGTGAAGAGGCTCCGCCTCTCTTGCCATCCTTGGGCCAAACTTCCAGAACTTCACGTGCCAGCCTGACCCAGCAAGGAAGAGATGACACCCTCCAATCTGAGAATTGAAGATTTAAATTAGAATGGAACAGGAAGACAAGGCAAAGCCTAAAAACTGCAGAATGCTGTTCCCAACCAATAGGCCGGGTAGAGCCACAGGTGGCTGAGCAGAGAGACAGCAGCACAAAGAGATGTTGGCCTGCAATTAGAGGATGCTGCTACCCCCCGCCCCCCACTAAAACCACTGCCAGACTTCAGATGGAACCAGAACTTATGGGAGGTGCTGAGGCAGACAGAGTTGCTGATCTCCGCAAGTCTAAGGTGGGAGGAAGCGCAGCTATGAGGCTCGGGGGTAGCAGAGGCTCAGTACCTAATCCTCCCACCTTTCTGCACTCTGCACTGTTTTAAATCTAACATTTAATGAGATTCCCATATCCCTACACAGAAAACTTCCAGATCCGATCACAGTAGCATACCATTTCCCATGTGGCCCCTACTTCATTGGTCCTCTGTTGATGGACATTCGTATTTTTCTTAACTCTGGCTTAAGGAGTCTTCCTAGAAGCATTTTATCACATGGCAAGCAGACCAATTAAGAGTGTGTGAAAATCACAATTAAATACACAAATCAGGAGACCCTGAGGTAGCGGGGTCTAATCTGGTTTCCTCTTTGTCTCCTTTGGGTGCTGGGCTTCTCATTCTGTAGTTTGCTCTGTTACACTTCTAGGTCTAAAACAAAGACTAGAATTTGTGCTCCAAAATTGCTGATTTTTTTTTGGCAAGAAATTCCATATGTGAGAGACCGCCCCCCCCCCCCGCCGCCCCCCGATTGAAGAGCCGCTATTGAGGGTATCCACAGAAGACATGACTGGGAGATTAGATCCTCTGAATTTAGTTTCAAGGTTTACTAATGCTATGAGATGTGATTTTTTTTTCCTTTATCAAAAATTATATTTCAAGAACTTGGGCTAGGAAGATAGCTCAGTTGGTAAAGTGCTTGCCTGGCAAGTGTGTGGACGAAGGTTAAGCCCTGGAATCCATGTTCAAAAAAGTGTGGTATTCAAGAGAATCCTTATAATCTCAGGGCTGGGAGGTGCGGCAGGGCGGATCCCTGGGGTGTGATGGTAAGCGAGCCCAGCCTAGTCAGTGAGCTGCAGGCCAACCTGAGACCTTGTCTCAAAAACAAAACAAGAAAAAAAACTTCAACCTACCAGAGTGATGGCACCCAAGGCATGATACCCCAGATTGCCCTGGGTGTACAAAATTGCATGGACAGGTGTACATACAAACATGCACATACATGAACATGCACACACACAAGATTTGAATAAGATTTACACAAGACAAAATCGTTCCAGCTATACGTCACAATTTATTTAAACATTTTTACGTGCATGTCTTGCCTCCATGTCTGTGCAGTACTTGTGTGCTGGTGCCAGCAAAGGCCAGAGGAGGGCATCAGATTCCTTAGAACTGGAGTTACAGACAGGTATGAGGTGACAACTGGGGGCTCAGAATTGAACCCCAGGTCATCTGGAAGAGCAGCCAGTGGTCTTAACCTCTGAACCATCTCTCCAGCCCCTCGGCCACACTTTAAATAGAGAAGCTGACTGCCTGGAGGGATTTCATCTGTGAGTGCAGAACAAATTACTGATGAAAGAGAAACAGAGAATTTGAAACAGTCTCACCACCAGGATTCAAGCAAACAAATGTCTGTGCTACTAATGCAAAGACGAACAGGAGGGTGTGTGGTCAACAGAGAACCCTGTAGGGTACTGGACAATTGCTGGAAGGAGTGGGAAACTAAGAGCATATCCAAGACAATGTCCACATGAAGTATAGGAATGGAGAATCATAAAAGAAATGAACACTGAATACCTGCGGAAAGCCCAGTTTTGTAAGTAGACAACAGCAAGTTAATACACACACACACACACACACACACACACACACACACACACACACACATTGACAAACATTAAATAAGGACATAATACGCAGAATGGCAAGAGAGCAAAGGAAGGGCCATGCAGAAATGCCTACTTTGTTGGAATTCAGAGACGAAATCAGTTTGGAAAGAAACTGATAAGAGTCTTTACACAACAACTCTATTTTCTACAATATGAATAAAGACACAAAGACTTATGTTCACAGGCTAGTCAACTCATTTGTCATGGCGAAAACCTCAAACAACCTAACAGGACACTGATAATAGTCCAGCGATCTATCTTATACACTGAGAAAAGGTTATGAAGCTGTATGTAAAGTCTGATTCCTTTTTTTTTTTTGGTAGAAACTTAATGTATATTATTTACAGAGGAAAAAGGAAATACACATCCCAAGATATCGGCAAAGGGAATATTTGAATATGAACTGACGGGTGATTTCATTCTACCATTATCCGACTAAAGGTCTCAGTAGCCCAGCTTGGCCTCCAGCTTTTGGCAATCTTCCTGCCCCTGCCTCCTAACTGCGGGGACTACAGACGTGTGTCACCACACCGGGTAGATGACTTTTATTTCCGTCAGGGCAGACGTGTCTACTTTACAAATTATCCCGCACTTGCGTTTTACAAGGTGCTGTGGTTGGGTTAGTCCTGGTCCACAGGTGCCAGGAAGGACACTTCAAACTGCCTGTCTGGTATCCCTCCACCGGATGGCCTACGCACAAATGCCTCCTTCCTCAGAACCCGGGAAAGGACCTTTGCCCCAACTAACCTGGGCTGTCGCTTAGAAAAAGCTTCCTCGGACCTGAACCTTACGAGCGGAAGTGAGAAACACGGACGCAGAAAATGAGCGTGTCGTCGCGCGCCCCGCGCAACAGTCCAATAAGCAGAACGATATTAGTCCTTGCCCACTTTGCACAGCCCAAACCGGAAGCAATGTCATTTCCGCCCTTAGTAAACATGGCCGACCTCGTTCTGCCCTCCTGTTCACACCCACAGGCCAGAGGCGGGGTATCAACTCCTACGCCAAGCGCGATTGGTCGCAAGGAGACTCGGAGACGAAGAAGAAGACTTTGCGGCTCAGAAGGTCGGTTCACGCTGTTTCGCTCGGCGGTCCAGGAACCCTCGATTTCTGGGCTGCTCTCGATGGTATATTTGGCGGATAGAGGGCCGCACGCAGGGCATTATGGGACCATGATGGCCGCTTCCAAACAGCGGAATTTGCCTGTTTGAGACACTCTGATCGAACAGTGGCCGCGCTGGCGCCCCCATCTCAGGGACAGAAGGTCCCGAGAGTCCTGCTGAGGGAGGTGAGTGTCTCTTCCTCTTTCCAGACCCGTCTTTCAGCAGCCATGGCTGCTCCAGGCGGCCGGGATGGGTTCGCGGTTTAGGCTTGGGCCCTGGTTGGAGAGTTCTCTAGACCTTGTTCCCCAACTTTCTCTATTCTCTTGAGCAGTCTTGTGTCCATTCAACCTACTCCGGACTTGTCGTTGTTCTGGTCACATCCCGGTGTTTGGGAACGGCCCCACGGAGATCCAGGGATCCTCCCTGCGTCCTTGTTTAGGACGGCACCCTAACCTGTTACCGGCTAGTTGGAGAGCCTGGGTAGGGCTCCTGGTGCCTTCCTTCTTTCTCACAGAAGTGTCTCCACCAGATCTGGCAAGTAATCTAGAAATAGAATGTTTACCCCAAGAAATAGGGAGTTTATTTTTCCTTTCGGTATTGTTGACAGTTGGCCCAAGGACACATGTAATAAGCAATTGCTGGCCCAAGAGGTCCTTTGTGATTTTTTTTTTGCTGCTGAGCTTCCCCCATCAGACCCTGGAACTCCTTAATTGCTGTAATTAAGTCCTTCCTTGTTCTGTGTTGTGGAGAACTCCTCGCTGTCCAGAGAAATGTTTGACTTAATCCCTTTTAATAGGTTATATTTAATCAGATTTTTATTTTGCCATTTATTGGGCTATAGGAATCAACAAGACAGACAGGAGCCTCTTGCTTGTAGACAAATGACATTTTAAGCCATAAGTCATTATTCAGGTAACTGCCGAGAGGCTGTGTATCTCAGCTTCTTGCCTAGATCTCCTCATATGCAACTTTTTTTTTTTTCTGTTCCATTTGATGAAATTTCCAAACGAAACTCCTTTTTCTTCACATTATGGGTGCAGCATTCCTTGTTAAAGCTGTGCATGTCAATTAGAACATGTCAAAAGAAGTCTCGATCCCAGAGGTGCAGTTCTCATGCTTTACCAACACATTGGAATGAGAATAGCTGTCTGTGTGTCCAGCATAGGTTCATGCTCATAAGTGGATAGTGTCAGGTGAAGATGCGCTTGTTATCAGCTGAGCCCCCAGGGCATCTTGCACTCTCTTGAACACTTTCCTGAAATGCCATTTCCTAACTTAGTATTTCCCTTAAGTAATTTTGATGAGCGCATTGTAATTCAAGAGATTTTACCCGCTATGGAGTGCATTTTTTTCCTTTTCCCACTAGACACAACTGATCCACAACAAAAATCACAAAGTATGTAGAATGTGGATGGTAAAATTACGTGCTGAGATCTCTGCTCTGTGAAATTTGTGGTTTAAAGGAGGTGGGATGGGTGGGTAGAAGAGTGTATATAAAAAAATTAGTAAGGAAGCTAGTCAGTATTCAGGAGCATGATAACCAGATATATAACAATTACATTGGTGTTCCAACCATGGTTCACATGCAGTTGCTTGATTCTCACAGTGGTTCTGTGGATTGTAAAGCAAAAGTGATGTCTGTTTTACAGAGAGAGCAGTAATAGCTAACCAAGCAGCTGCTTACTGTCACAGAAGCAGAAAACGCCAAGAGCCTGGATTTCTGTGTGTGTGTGTATGTGTGTGTATGTGTGTCTGTCACTAGAGAAGGGGCCTGTGCTGCTGCAGTTTACATGAAAAAGGTGAGTATTTTGACTGGTGTTTGGAGGCAGAGAGCTAATGGGGCCTTGTAGAGATGATTATTCTGGCTCTTAAGTGGGAGAAACTATATTCTGTAGAAGGATGAAATTATAGGAGAATAAATTAGATGACGGGTAGGGGAACAAATTTAAGAGCAAGTACATGAGGGAGAGGGGGGAAAGGGAGGGAGGGAGGAAGGGAAGAAGAGAGAATATGAATGAATGAATGAATGAATGAATGAATGAATGAATGAAATCTTATTAAATAGCTTAGCCCGTATGAAATTCACTGTGTAGCCCAGGCTAGCTTCAAACTTGCCATCCTCTGATAAGTCAGCCTCCCATGTGCTGAGAAGGCAGGTGGGTATCACCTTCTCCAGCTTGATTTAGTTGAGATTTCTGACTTAAATCTAGTTCGCCCTATACTTTCTTTATAAACACTGTTGTTTGCCAGTAAGAAGCCCTTAGTGAGGCTTATTCTTGTCTGGGTGATGCCCTCTTGGTTTTCGTGTTTGGTCTGTGTATATGTGTCTCTGTCTTTTGTATATGCCAAGGTGGGAACAGCCAGCTTTTTGACATTGTCTGTAGGAAAGTCTTCACGAGTAACAAAAGGGGCTGGAGAGATGTCTGTTGGTGAAGTGCTTTCTTCCAAGCATGAGGACCAGAGTTTAGGTCCCCAGAACCCATGGAAAAGCCTCGAGTAGAGGCCCATGGATGCTGAAGAGTCAGAAACAGGCAGACCCCAGGTGCTTGCTGGCCAGCCGGCTTGGCCAAATTGCCTCCCAGTTCAGTGAGAGACCCTGTCTCAAAAAGTAAATAAGGAAGGAATGGAGAAAAACACCTGACGTTGACCTCTGGCCTCCTGTGCACACAGTGCATGTGCTCCCGCATGAACACACACACACACACACACACACACACACACACACACACGCACGCACAAATGCATGCATGCACGTAAGCACCAGCTAGCTAGCAGATGACCTGGGTTTAGCGTAGGGAGGTAGGGACAACCACTTAAGTACTCGTTATTCTGGGACACAGTAAAGTTGAGTTTTCTTATGTCCAATTCTAATGGTTTGCCTCCCTTCCAGGGAAGACATAAGAGCTGTGATGGAGGACACTGGTGAGGATGCTTCCATCCATCGGTTGGAAGGCACAAATCTGGACTCTCAGGTTGGTGGTCTTATTTGCAAGACCAAAAGTGCAGCCAGCGAGCAGCATGTCTTCAAAGCTCCTGCTCCCCGCCCTTCATTGCTGGGACTGGACTTACTGGCTTCCCTGAAACGGAGGGAGCGAGAGGAGAAGGATGATGGGGACGATAAGAAAAAGTCCAGAATCTCTTCTTATAAAGACTGGGAGGAGAGTAAGGATGAGCAGAAGGATGCTGAGGAGGAAGGAGATGAGCAGGCTGGCCGAAGTAGCCGCAAAGACAGGTAAGGAAAGAGTCAAAATTGGTGGTCAAATATACTAGCCCAGGTTCATCTCAGGTTCCTGTTGGACACCTAAGAGCTTTATGGTTTTATTGTGATTCTGTAATACTGGCAGCGGGTAGGAATTGGTAAAGATTCGTGGGGAGATTTCAAAGGCAGCTAAGATGGATGATGGAGCTTAAGTGCCGGGGTTCTTGCCTTGGACAGGCCTTTGTCACCAGGGCGATGCGATGGAGAGGGCCTATCGCATGCTGGCATAGCCAGAGGTAGAGGGAAATGCTTCTCCCAGCTCATCCCCCTGTTTCAGGCATTACCGAGCTGCTCGGGTAGAGACGCCGTCACACCCTGGGGGTGTGAGTGAAGAGTTTTGGGAACGCAGTCGGCAGAGAGAGCGGGATCGGAGGGAGCATGGGGTCTATGCCTCATCCAAAGAAGAAAAGGATCGGAAGAAGGAGAAGTCCCGGGATCGAGACTACGACCGCAAGAGAGACAGAGGTAAACTGCCTGGCACCTGTCCTGGTGTCTGTTAGCATTTCAACCAGCAAGCTGTTCTTTTCCTCTTTCTTGCAAGAACTTTTATGGTAATACTCATTAATTGGACAGTTTGGTTTGTATTCTGTCTGATCCAGTGAGTTTGACTTGACCCTTTGAGAACAGAATTAGAAAGAAATTTAAGGAAAGATATCTTGCTTATAGTACAGTTGCATGCTTGAGTTGTTTTATTGTGAAAACTGGTGATAAAGGGAATGATGGGTAATCTGTTTAAGAAACCAGAGTTTACAGTAGCATTGATGGTGGAGAAAGGACAGTGCTGTGGAACAAGGTGAGACAGAGTCCAGCACTGGCCTCGCTCAGTGTCATCTGTAGCTTAGAGGTCTGCTGTACCACAACTCTTCATGGTAGACCTGTAACTGTTCACTTCTGATTCTTACTGGAAAATAGCTATTGTGTGGCCCTTTGTATCCATTGGGAAAATCCGAGTGTGTGATTTAAGCCCCCGGGTCATGGGAGGGCGTGAGTAGAGAGGCTGTGCTTTCTGCTCAGTGCGTGTGGGTGTTTGGTAGCACAAGGACCCAGTTTTAAGCCCCGTGTGTGTGACTCTCACAGATGAGCGGGACAGAAGTAGGCACAGCAGCAGGTCAGAGCGAGACGGAGGCTCAGAGCGCAGCAGCAGAAGAAATGAACCAGAGAGTCCTCGACATCGGCCAAAAGGTATTCTCAGCTCTCCTCTGGGGGTGG